TTAATTCCTCTGCTCTATTTCTTCCCCACCAACCTAAAAGAAAGGGAAAAAAACATACTGGCATAAGCAGTGGTATTGTGTATGTGTGTGTACATGATTTTGCTGTGGGCAAAGAGCTTCAGCTTTACCACTGAAAGCTCAGATCAGCTGGGACACATCTGTCTGCTCTATCCTTTTTGGAGGGTGGGAAGGAGGCATGCCTGCTTTGTAAAACCTCTCTTATTAAGTAATGGGGGTGTTAGTGATGCTTACATGGCTTTTTTTCTTTTGGACTGACTGAATTATCAATTTTTGCAAACAGCAAGTTGAATCTACAAAGGAGGAAGGAAGAGGGTGGGTGAAGACATTAGCCTGTGGTTTTGGAACAGCCGGTATTCTGATTTTGTGTATTTATATTTTATTATTCTGCATCTATTTTTAAACGGTTAAGCAAGCCTCAATGATGGCCTCTCTGTCCAACCCCAACCCCTTAGGTCTGGTGGCATGTTTGTTCTCTCCCTCACCTTCCACCCCCAAAATCCAGGAGCAGTAACTGAGATGGCTTTTATAAGCGAGCTACAAAGGTGACATTTTGCCCCTAATTGTGCTGTTTGTATATGTGGCTGCCCAACCAGAGCTCCTCAGACTTGTGGGGAGGGCAGCTTTAAGCCCCTACTCCCCAAAATGGTTTATTTATTTTATTGCAGTGTGCCTCAGAAAGGAGGTATTTAACCCCTGGGATCTGTAAATGAAACAGTTTTGGATGTCATTTAACTCTTAATTATCTGACCCTGCAACCAAACCAGGTAGGGATAAGAGGCTTTCATTAGCACTGGATAGAGACAGAATTTATAAAAGCCTGCCAGACACCAGAGCTGTGATCCTCCTCTGAGCATGGAGAATGAAAGAAAGAGTGAGTATAGTCTGTGAGCCACTGCAGGTGCTGTGTTTATGGTAACCTCTTTATTTAACTGCTACATTTGCCGAACTGGTTACAAACCATTGGAGTAATTAATCTGTTCCTTGGGAGTGGCATGTTTGGGTACCAGGGCTCGCAATGGGGTGTTCATTGTCCTTCAAGGTATGAATACCAGAAAAACTGTGACAATGTAATTTGGTATAATACTCCCAGGACAAACTCATCCTCTGTGTCTAGTTCTATATATTTATCGAGAATGAGATTTGCCTGCATTTAGACAGTTTGGGTTTTTAGGGGGCTTGGACTTGCCTTTTCAAGACCAGCAATGGGCCTGAGAACTGCTTTCACTTTTTTATGGCCATGCTGTTGCCAAAGGCGGGGGTTCCAGGGTGAGGGGAATAGAGCCAGTGGCCTCTAGTTTTGCTCTATTTTTGCTTTGATGCAGTAGCTGGGGAGAGATGAGAGCGAGGTTTCCAGCAGGGTGTTGCCGAAATCCACTCCTTAAAATCTCCCATCTTTATTAATGATTTGGAAGAGAGGTGAAGAGCACATCAAGGGAGTTTACGCAGTTTAAATCCAGAGGTGTCGTAATCACTCAGGACCTACCGAAGTGAGAGAAACGGGACAAAATAACTAGGTGTGATTCCACTGGAAAATGTAGCAGAGGCAGAAACAATGTGAAATGCAGTCAGTCAATGGAAGGAAGCCGCTTGGGAAGCAGAATTGTTGAAGCAGACGAAAGTGAGAGTGTAGACAGTGTAATTGCCAGAAATTTGCAAGGGGATATGACAGCTAATTAAAGTCAGTGCAATTTGGGGCTGGCTGTGCAGAGGCATCAAGAATGTAAGACGTCTTCTCTTAAGCACGTTTGGTGCCACCTTGCCTGAAGCATCCTGGGCACCTCCTTGCCTGAAAGGTTTTGACAAATTGGAGGGAATATAAAGAGGAGCAACAAAGGTGATTAAGGGGATTGAGGACTGGTTCACCAGGGAAGATTAAGCAAACCAGATATATATAGTGCAGCCTGGCTGAATGACATCTGATGGATTTCCTCTGACTACTGTAACAAGAGGAGGTGGGGAAAAGGGAAAATGGGACTTTTGTCTCTTTAGAGGCATACTTCCCATATTTGGAGACCTTGTGCAGCTAAATGAGGTCGCAGCCAGCTCCAAAATAAATGTGGTTTGGTTTTGTTTGTTTGTTTTGTTTTTAAAGAGAGTCGGGGAGGGATTTTGTTTGATAAATTGTAGATCCTTCGCCTCATCTTGATGAATGGGGCACTTGGATCTCTGGATGAAAGCTGACGTGTCTGCAGCCTGTCTTCAGTAATTGGACTGGGTTTTGCATATTCTTCCATGGAATACTTTCTACTGTCAGCTAAGCTTGAGAATGTTCTCTTTTAAAGCAACAACAAAAATAGAAAGCATCTAAGCTAGCTGCCACTGATGCTGCTGTATTACTACAGGGTTCTGGCATGCTACTGTAGCACTTTCTTGAAAAAAAAAAAAGAAAGTGGGGAAGGAATTTGCTGTTCAATTGAGAACACTGTCTCCTGACCCACCCATTAAAAAGAGCTCCATGGGACCTCTTCACACCCAGCCTTCAGCCACTCCTACCGTCCAAGCAAAGCCATAGAGCTTCTGTTCTGCTCCAAAGGGAAAGGCCAAGAGCCTGCCAGCAATGGGGAATGCAGCTAAATTGGAAGAAAACTGTTTCAACTCCATTTCATAGGGCTGGGCTGGTTCACATTTTGCTGTACCATGAGTGACCTGGATTTCTTTTCACTCTATGTATGTGTTGCCAAGGCCTATAAAGACTTAGAGGGCCTGTGAAGGAAATACTGGTAGCTCTTGGTATTGATAGTCAGAGACCTGCATAACTAGCTGTGTGGTACCTTGTGGGGAATAGATTAAAAGTGCCTTGCACTGCTCCATAGCCTCCTCCTCCACCTTGCTTGATATGGATCTTAATCTCTCAAAATGTTATTGCTTGTCTCTGAAGGGGAATCCTGGCAGAGGGAGGAAGGCATGAAATAGGCTTTCTCAGAGCCCCTCAACTTCTTTCCTGGGAAGAGGAGGGGCTGATAGCTTGCAGCTCTTGTACCCAGCCCATCTTTGCTAGAAGTTTAATTTCCTTGGTCCCTTTGTTTGCTGCAGGGATTTGAATCAAGTCACAGTCGGTGTAAAAAACCATAGTGCCGTGTGGTACAATGAGTGCCGCCCAACACTTTAAGCAGATTGTCCCATGTCCTAAGACCTTTGAAGGCCTGTGGAATGAGGGTATGGACCAGGCATGGTTTTATTTCAGGACAGGCGCTTTGTTCCTTTGCACGGGGGTGATGATGACAGGGCCTCTTCTCTGCCCGTGTTCTTCTTGGGGTTATGGCTGCTCTCTGGAGGTACTCTAGTGCTGATTAAGGCACCCAAATGAACTCAAACACTGAATTGAACTGGTCTCATGGGATCGGTGTGTGGATTTAGGTGTGTGTGGTGAAATTCATTAGTTCTTGTAGATAAGATGTAACATGACCATCCCTGCTCTTTTCCCCACAAGGCACATGCTCTCCTCCAGAGGACCTCCAGTGTTACAGGCTTTGCTTGTGGAAAGGCCAGACTAGGTGATGCTCTTTGGAGCCCATCAAAGTTGCTCTTTGACTGCTGGCAAGCGACCAGAGCAGGTGCCTCTAGGACAACAGGGATTCAAGGGTCCGTGGATGCCAAGACGGACCCCAATGAAGTGCGACTGACCACAGAGTGCAAAGCAATATTAGGCTAAGACAACCCACCTGCAGGTGTCTTTATCCCTTTCCCATAGCTCTCCTAGCCCCTAATGGCCCACAGAGCAGAAAACTTAGGTTTGAGCTGTGGAGAGGGATGAATTCTTCAGTAAAATTCTCCTTACGGCTGAGCTCTCAAATCATGCGTCATCAGGCAGAGGCATAATCTACTGGGGATAAAAACTGGGTTCCCGAGAAGGTGTAAATCAGACAGGATGTCAGTATAGTTCTTGGCTGCATGGATTATGAACACCGCACAGGGGAGGGACCCTCTGGCTCCACTCTTCCACATACTCTCGGTCCCCTGTTAATGCTGATGTGCTAGCAGGCTTATGGGCTTCTTATTGTGGGACAGTTTGATCTTGAGGGATTAACAAAGCCCTATTTCTAGAGTGCTTTGAAGATGGAAAGCCCCGTGGTGCTGCCAAGTGCTGTGTTACATCCTACCAGGCTCCTGAGGGACTCTTCCTGTGAACATCTTTCTCTCTCTTCTCTTTTTTTTTTTAACCTTCCTTTCCCCTGTTCTCACAAGATGTTCCTCTAGCCTAAACATCTGAACAAGGAGCTCACGTGGAAGAGCCTGGATCACTATGCCTCTGCCTTACAGCCCCACGGGACAACTGAAGAATCCCAAAGTGACAAAGCAGTGATTCAAGTGGAGCGTGATGTAGCTTCATGGGCTCTTTGGCAAATGAAAGGGGTGCCAGTAACAGGTAGGAGTGGCTAATCGAAAGCACCCTTCCTTGTGCCAGGAATGTCCTCTGTTTCTTCCTCTGCTATGTCAGAGGTTTGAATCTTTGCAATTCGCTTTTTATCTCTTTCTCTCTGTCCTCCCCAGTAACACTTCTCCTTTTGCTGCAGCTTAGTTCCACCATTGCTTTCTGCAACTATAGAAGTGGTTGTGATAGTATATCATAGTATCACTTCCTGCAGGGTGGGTTAGAGGCAACAAAAGGATGACCGGGGAGAGGAAGAGCTCTGAGTGGTGAGCCAAATGCTGGTGTCTAAGCAAACTTGGCAAAAATGGGTCAGGGGGATGATGCTACAGTACTCCCCAAGGTGTGTCCAGCTGAATGTTTGGGTATCGTGGTATCACCACTGAACTGCAGCCACCTCTTGGTCAGGTGCATTTTACAGGGCTTTGGAGACAAAGGATTAAATAAGCATGAAGATTTCTTCCTCTGACAGGGAGGCCAGGGGAAGGATGGGTGGGGTCAAGGCATGTGACAATTTGACTCTGTCTTGGGAGGGGGAGCGATGTGTGAAAATTAGAAACAGGAGATTGGGATAGGCCAAAAGAACACAATGGTTTAATTTGGACTGTAGCCAGGACACTCGTGAGCAGCCCTCCTTCAGAGACATATCCTAGGGCCTTTTAGTGATCAGGGCCTTGGCTTTACATCATGTGTAAGAACCTGGGACTGGGGGCGAGTGGATATCAGTGTTGGTCACATCTCCCATGCTGGCCTGCTCTCTGAGCCTCCTGCCTCCTCCCAGGTTAGGTGGCTGTGATTCCTGCCTGCATCATAAGCAGTGGTGCGTGTGTGGTGTTGGCATGGATTCCTCTCCTTCAGCCTTCTGTGTTGTTTTTCAGCACACTGGGTGTTTCACAGAGATAGGAAGCTGTCCCTCTGCCAGAGCCTTCCTCCGTGCTGCATGCAGGAACCAAGGCGGGTGCAGACACAGAAGGGAGGAGGGTCCACCCTAGGCCACAGGATCAGACAGGAGAGAGGCACCACTGCTGCAGGGAGGCAAACAGACCTGGCAGCCCCTACCTGGACCTAGCAGGAGCCTGACAGGTAGAGAAGGTGAGAAACTGTTGCTGGTAAAGGGCTCAGATTTGCAACTGGAAACCTGATACAGGTCGAGAAAGAAGGGGAAGGTGTCGTCTTAAGTCTAGGGACAAAGCTGGTAGAGAAGCCTGTCGACAGACCTCCTGGGGATGGCGTGGTTAGCATATGGGTGCTTTGGCACCAGTGGGCAGGCTCTTTGTAAGGCAAACCTAGACTTTGGGTCACATGGGGGCAGAGACACAGCCAAAATGGGAGAGTGCTGCCATTCTTCCCAGGCCAGCCAGATATGCTGGAGTGAGTTTCCTAAGCCCTGTGTGTTTTTGTTTTTTTCATAGATTCATAGATTATAGAGTTGGAAGGGACCCAGTGGATCATCGTATCCAACCCCCTGCCCCTGGCAGGAAAGAGGACCGAGGTCAGACGACTCCAGCCAGGTGTTACAGTCTATTGCTGTCTCATTATCTGGCTGTGACAGTCCTGCTGCTTCTTGGAAATCTCTGTAAATCCTGGGGGAAGGCCAGCCTGCTTTTTCTTGCTCCCCCTCCCTCCCCCAACCTCTTCCTGGCTCTGGAGGGATGTTTGTGAGTCTAGGAGGATGGCATCACAAGGACATGGCTGGAATGTAGAACGAGGGTTAGAGAGAAGCTGTTAGTTTATTTCTGACATCTCACTTATTGTGGGAGGTTTTGGAGAAATGAGAAGCTCCTTGATTTACTCAGACAACCCCCTCCTCTTCCTCCTTCTCCTGGGGTTGCTTCTTGCACAACTAAAATTGGTGGGTGTTGGGCACCTAAATATCTCTGTGGATCAGAGCCTCAGGAATTCCTGACAAGGGGCGGTAGGTGATGTTGGATACTAGAGACCCTGCACCTGCTTCCAGACTTAGTTCATTGCAACATAAAAGTGCACCTGAGAGCTGAGGTTGTAGGGAGGGGACTGGGAGTTGTCTGTACAAATGCAGCAGCGTGTCGGGGAAGACAGGGAGGGAGTTTGTCTCGACTGCTGCACTGGCTGTCTGCACATGGCTTCCTGTGGGTGTTTAGGGGTGGGAAGGAAAGTGCTTTCTTGGGCCACTGCCACTTTCTTCTGAACACTCCCTGTCCATGACACAGCCACCTCTGCCTCTAGAGAAAATCGTGCCTTGCCCTTCTGGAGTGGGTGGCTCAGGGAGTTGCTCTGAAACAAAGCCTACCACATCAAGGCTATTAGTTCAGGTAAGAACAGACTTGGCAGTGATTCAGAGCAGTTGACTTGCTTGACTGTTTTGCGGTCCATAGGTTGTAGTGGACTTGGTGCCAGATTGCTTCCTAGAAGACAGGTGTTCGCAACATAGGAAGGCATCAGTACCACTGGCTCCATTCTTGCCTATTTGAAAAAAGGGGCTATAGAAATTATTAGCACCCAAAACAGGCCTAGGGACTATGCTTTCATCCCACTCAAGGGGCTTCCTTCAGATTGGGAGCAAGGCCTGGTCTGTGTAGGGAGGGATGCCAGCACTGCCATGCCCATGTTTTACCTGGTCTTTAGCTTTTCTCCAGCATGGCTCAGCCTAAGGATTCAAAAAAGAGGACACTGGCTTGAAAAAAAGTGTGTCTGTATCTTTTTTTTTTCAATAATAAACACTGATTTATTTTCTTTATTTGCCACCTAGTTTCTGAGCTTTTAAGATACACTTGCCTCACATTTCCCAGCCTTTGTCCATGACCAGGAAGCCTGCCAACTTTTTCCTAAATGAGAGCAGAGCTTCTCAGGCAGAGACTTCTTAGCATCTGGGGCTCTGAGTAAAACTCCTTGTAGCATGAGCCTCACAATAAGATCATCAGGGCAGGCAGCACTGCCACCCTCCAGGGCTGGATGGCATTAATTCTGGGCACACAATGAAAGGTTTCATACGCTGCTTTTTAGATGAGGGAGTGGGGAGAGGTTTGGAGCACCCTGGATCATGATGCATTATAGTGCATTGACAAGAGTGTAGCACCCCCAAATGCCTGTCGGCTCCCAGCAGAGGTATGAGGTCACACATTCACTTCTTCCTGAAAGCTGATCACATGCTGCTCTGCAGCACTTCAGAAGGGCCAAACCAGTTCAGAAGTATCTAAAATGGTTGATAAGAAGAGCAGGCAGGTGGATTTAATGAAGGCCAGGCAAATAATGCCTTTCTGTAGACTGATAATACTGGTGCCTTCCCCCTGCATAGCTCTGCCAAGACCCTCCAGCACTGCATGGGCTGCAACCCTCCAGGGGCTGCATCTCCTTCTGCACTGGGCCCAGTGCTGTCTACACACCTCTGTCAATACACCTCCTCCCAATCCTTGTGAGGTGCTGATCCCAAGCGTGCCAAGGCACAAGAACAGGAACAAAGTGACTTAGGAAAATTGCCACAAGAGACCCCAGAGTGGAAAGCTCTGCAGCACAGGTTGCTATTCTCAGCCAGAGCAGGTGCTCTTCCTGTTCTGGTTGCTTCCCTTCTCCCCATGCACTTATGGGTACTCCACGTTGGTCTGGTAACAATATTTTTATTGGAGATTTTCTTCTTTGGGCGGAAAAATAGAACTACTCAGAAGGCATCTCTGCTTCAGTTTAAGATGGGAGCAAAAACAAATATAACTTCATTGGCATGAGCATTAATTTGCTGTGTTATATATGAAGTATAAAAAACACAACCAACTAGGCAAAAAAACCCCCAAAGGATGTTTCATTAGTCCTGCATTTCATTCGAATTAGATGGACATCTCTTTCTGAGATTTATAAAGCAAAATCTAGCCACCTTGAACATCTTGACCATGCAACCAATGCTTCACGTAACATTATGTCAGTACCTGAGTTAATGTTTTTAGCTACAGTTAAAAACAGTCCACAGGGGTTTGAAATATGAGCTACATTACCAGAAGCAGCTCACAGACAGCAGGATTGCAGAATAAAGGCTAGCTGGATTAGCTGAACATCAAACCATTAAAAAAGGAGAGAGTGTTGTTAACGCCTGTGGAATGAAGAGTTTAGAAGCAATCAGGAAGATGCTAATGAGCCCTGAAGTCAAGTGACTCCTTCGCTGCTACCTGGCTAAAAATGCTGCCCCTGCCAGGCAGGCAGTTGGTTTTAAACTTTGGGTACAGCAGGACTCAAAGGGGCAGGGCGAGGGTTGGGGAGGGTGATTGCACCACTGCACCTCCCCTAGATCCACCCCTGGAGCTATGGTTTCAGGCTGTCTGTAGACTCTAACATCAGTACACTTGGGATTATGTTTTCAAGCCAGTAGTATTCACAGGATAGATGCTTCTTAAATGACAGCTGATCTTCTGATGTCATCACATGACTCCAGGAGCTGGGACCCTAGGCATGCATCTATATACTCACTGTCTTAGTCAGACCATGGGTCCAAACCCAGCAGTGATTACCCAGGCCTGAGTCAAATTTCAGAACCAGTGTGTTCTTGGGGCTCCTATCTAACGTGTCCTTTGGCTGCAGGGTGGAAAGGACAAGTACTTCATTTCTGGAAGAATGAAGAGGGAGGCAGGCCCCTGTGCCTGACGGGGAGTCAGAGGGATGTGTTGCAATCTACAGAGCATTGCTGCAAGTAATTATGTTCACAGATGTGGTTGGGTTTCCCCATTTAGACACTTTCCAGGCCATTGTCTTGGGTCCCAATCCTGCGGGCCCATTGTGAGTCTGAACAGAGCCCAGGCACTGTCCCTGGGATGGGTCACACCCTTGAGGTACAAACCCACAGTCCAGCTCAAACGCACCCTGTCAGAACTGTGGGTACTCTGGGGCTGTAGCTGGGCCTGTAGCTAACCTAGATTTCCTGTCCCAAAATGAAGCTAAATCTGTTCACCTCTTCTGTCTAAAGCTTCCTGTGAGGCTTCCTTTGCTTATATGCTCCCCTCCCAGCACCAAGCTTCTTTGTTTTGCCTCTGGTAAACTTCCACTTAACCAGCCCCCTGCAAACAAGCTGAAGGAAGCAGCTTTTCCCAGCTCCAGTCAACCTCCGTAGCATACTAATCATCCTGTCGAAATACAGTTGCTAAGGTTAAATACTCTCCATTGTCCCTCATCTGGTGGGTACGTGCTATTGGACTTGTCAGCAGAAGTGGTACAGAAAGGCGTTCTGTGAGCAAGCAGTTTCCATCGTAACCACCTCAATACTATCACCCAGTATCGGTAAGTGCTGTGTAGGTGGCCCAGACCATCATGCTTACCCAGTTCTGGTAGTCAGTTCACTGGAGGACCCAGACTCCTTTAGTGCTTGTTTGTCCACACAATATCACTTTTCATGGCAAAAGAGGATCCCTGACTAGTTACTGTGAGAAGGGAGTAGAAGTAGATAGGAATAAGGCTAATTTTGTAGCAGATGGGAGAAGGGGCAGAATAGCAAATTTGTGGCTGCTTGAGATGGTACACTGGTCCCCCTGCTGCCCAGCATGGCTTCTCCGAGCTCTGTGGGCAGTGGGGGAAGAGAGCATTGAGCATCCTGCTCTCAAATGCAGAGCCCCTGTGCTTGAGCTAAGGGAGAAGCTCTGCTGTCTGTTAGCAGCAACACAGCCTTAGCACTTTGGATCGGTGGAAGCTTAGTAGGAGTTTTCTGGGGATCAGAAGTGATCATTGCTATGGCTGGGGTGGGCAGTGGTTCAGGCACAGAGGCAAACTTCAGCTGGGGCAGAGCCAGGATGCATTCTGGCGGTGCTTTGGGTTGAGAGAGAGACACACTTGCAGAGAAAACAAATGAGGCAGGAGGGGTGCAGGGATCTGTTCCTCTCTCTGCTGCTTTGCCTCCTGATGCTTGGACTGATCTAGAAAATATTGATGGTGTCCTTGGTACTTTCTATTTTTGGGGCCAAGGTGACCCCCTTTTCATCTGTGCACCGAGGAGACTCTTCCTTGGGAGGCAGGGACAAGTTTGGCAATAAATTGAACATCTCAGGATTTCCTGGGATATTAAAATAGCCTGGCAGGAGGTGGTTGCTTTCATTGCAAATGGTGCTGGGAGGGAGTGGGGCTGGGGAGGGGTGGTATCAAACTAGGCTATTTTTTCAGGGCCTGATTTCCCAAACTCATCCACCCAGGTCCTGCGTACTAATGGATCATGCTGGGTGGAGAAGGGAAAACAGAAGACTCCTACTCTTGAGGAAGAGTGGTGGATTTCTGATGCATTAAAATGAACACAGTTTACAAACAGAACAATTTCTGCCCCCCTCCCCCCAATGATGTATCCAGAGCTGCTACTCTTGCTCTCACAGGAGCAAGGCTGTCCAGCCCTCAAACAGAAGCCACCAAATTACCCAACAGGAAAGAAATCAACAAGGAAAAAGTCTCTCTCAATTTCTCTTGCACCATCATACCCAGGGCTTCCGTACAAATAGTAAAAAGAAGCCCTCGAACATTTGGGATTGCATTCATTTGGTGGTTTCAAACGGAATAAGCAACTAGATCTCACTCTGATAATAGCTCTATTTGTGATTGAAGTGAGGGCAGATTGTCCATAGTTGTACTGGATTTCCCATTTTGAGTGTAAAAGCAACATCTGATCTAGGCCACACAGCAGCACTGCAGCTTTCTTGCAATGTAATTGTGAGTTTTGCAATATTTGGCATCCATCTTAAATTCCCATCTTTGCGACATAAAACAAGTTCACCCTAGTCGTGGCCAGTCCAAGCCTAAGAATATGGCCCTGAAAGGCTCAGTCACTACAAGGCAAACACCATAAAAAGAATCCTAATTATTTTTTTAAAGCATAATCCTAGGATTGTTTTGCCAATCTTGTGTTTTTTCCTGAGGGCCTGACTCCTGATTTTTTGAATGTTTGGGATTGGCGGTATTGCATATGTGAATTTGGGAGGACACCCATGACAACTCCAGGGAGAGGAGCTCTGGGCCACCTACTCTGAAACCTCCATGAAAGAAAGGGAGGGAGAAGGGCTGACTGATTCTCTTATGTGAGGAAGGGGGGCTGTATAACTTCTGGAAAGTTTCAGTGCTGTGCTTCCAAAAGGAAGCCTCTGGTGGGTGTTGAGCCAGTTTGTAAAACTCACATCTGCTCTGGTGTGCAGGGTCCTGGGATGAGCACCACCTGGGAAAAAGCAGTCAGCCCCAGTGATTTCCTTTAAAAGTTGAAATGCATCTTCATCTTGTTGAACATGTTATGGTGCCCAATTAGCAAGGAGGTTCTGGAGAAAAGTCATTCTGTGGCCTGTTTGTCTCTTATACAATGTAAATTCCAATGCAAAAAAAAACATTTAGTTTCTATTGCTGGATCTGTAGGAATGTCCCTTTCCTCAAGCCTTTCTCTAAGTGGGAGGTGTCTGAGTAGGTAACTAGTAGAAGAGGAAGATTTACCTGGAGGTTCAGGCATTGGGTTGGGGTTTGGGGAGATCTGAGCTCAGTTTCTGAATTAGTCACCTGGCCCAAGGTGTCTTTCTAACAGACCAGGAAGGAGATGCTGACTGGGGGAAACTGGGCAACTGCAACCTGTCGGCCTTTCCCTTGTCCATGCATATCTCTGACTGGAGTTTCACCTGGTGGCATCCACTGGTTCCTTAGACACATTCAAGGGGCTCCTTTATTACAGGGCTGCCCAACTGGTGGCCCCGGGCTCGCACCCAGCCACTGCTCCTTCCCCCACTGCTCTGGCTGCAATAGCAGCCCTGGTCTCTGGGTTCCCCGCCATCCACCAGCTGCTGCTTCCTGCCTCAGGGGCAGGGCAGTGCAGCAATGCAGGGAGCCGAGGGTGAGTCTGAGGCTGCATGGAGAGAGGGAGCAGATGGTGCCTGTGTGGACCTGCCTTGCCGTGGTGGGGAGGAAGGAATTCCTTAATGATGTTAATAAGTGTGGTGCCTGGTGCAGGGGACCCCAGTCCCTGCTGGGACCTGTGGGAGCTACAGTAATACACATGACAGTGTCAAACTGGCATAAAGAAAGGTTTCACCTCTGGGAAGAAATGAATCCTCCCCCACTCTCTCCAGCCCCCTGTGTAAGGTTATTTTTACATATAAACATCCAGACCTGTATAATGGGCCAAATCAAAATCAGCCAAAGGGAAGTGAAAGCTAATTACTGAATAGATGTCTCCATTTCAGCCTGCTATCTTGGATTTCTCCTTTCTCTAACAAACCAGCTTGGACGTGGACTTAATTGTCATCTCCACCTCTTTCCTGCACTGTTTTAACAGACTTTTCTATGTCCTCTGTTCTCCCATAGTTTCTGTTCCTGCTCCAGTATCCTAGATTCACTGGCAACTGGTGTCTGACACTGTCCCTGGACCTTGGACTATGGCTTGATTTTTGCCTCAGATCCTCTTCTTTTAGCTTCTGACTGATCTTTAGATTCTGTCCTGACTTGAATACTTACTTTACCCACAAAATTGCCTATGCCTTGCTTTTAAAAAGCCTAATTGTGCTAGATGCTCTAGTCTAAAGGCATATAACAAAGACAATCCCCTGTGCCTTATAACTTATTCTGTCTCTCTTTCTCTGTATAAAATAAAAAATATAGAAACACAACTCCAGCCGGAGATCACAAGTGCTATTAGCAGGAATTCTTGTAAGTAGGGGAGAGACTGCATATGCTCTTCACAGATATTGAGCTTTTCCACAAGAATTACCAACTAGTAATTATAATCTACAAAATTTTAACCTCTTGCAACCATTTATGGGACTTGAAAATCCCAACCATTTTAAGTGCCTGCATAATCTCAGTGCCTACTGAAGGTCAATGAGAGTTGTAGCCCTTTAGGAAAGCTTATATTGGAAAAGGTTTGAAAGAGTTATCTCTTGCCAGTACAGCTTATACTTGCTCAGCAAGTGAAATAAACAGATCTGATATAAGCTCTTTTATAGCTCTAAGGCCTTTGCTGATATTAAAATGTCACAATAAACTACTCCCCTGAACATCACTACTATAACGGCAAAAGCTTCTAGTGTAGAACTAGCCTAAATCACATAGTTGGGTCTGAAAATCCCACCCCATTTCTCTAACACCTGGGAGTTACTGTAAGCAAGGCTCCATAGCATGAGGTTTTGGAAACTCATGAGATTTAGCTGCACAACTTTTGTTAATCTCAATGGGAGCAGTAGGGTTAATTTCTCCTAGCTGCAATGAGCAAGGGCAATATTCCTCTCTGTCCCCTACACAAAAAGAATCTGGAGGTTCCTTCAAGCAGAGATACCAAGGGCTGTGTCACTCAAACTGCTCTATCAGCACTAAAAGGACTAGGAGATAACAGATCATTTAAGATGGCAGCAACATCAATGCAGCTGAGTCATAGGAACAGTTTTTGGAACTCTTTCTACCATCAATTCTTGGATGAGGTCCACTTGCTTGACAGCATGAGTCCTTTTATCAGCTACCACAAGAGATCTTTTCTGAGAACCAGTGGTCAGGACATTGATTTTTCCATCTCTCATTTCAGAATGAGCTTCCATGCTGCTACACTATGCTGGGCCTTTGGGACCTCTCCTGTCCCACTTCCTACCACTTTGCCGACATCACTATTGCGGCATCTAGTTTTCCCCCAGTTTCTCCCCTTCCAATCCCTGTCCTATCCTGGTCCTATTTGGTCTAGACTATAGGATGCACTTGCAGAAGAAGAGGATAGCCCTTTTTGCCTTGCAGTCGCACCCTGTACGTTATCCCTCTCTTCTTTTTCTTCTGTAGGTTGAAGTAAGAGCTGAAAGACTTTGAGTGTCTGTCTTCTCTGTTTCCTGTCATCACCTCTTCCCTCCACGAGTCGGAGAAGCCTCTCAACCACACCATGTCATCTGACTCCACCACCCCATCAACAGTGCCACCACTCCACTCGCCAAAGTCGCCTGTTTGGCCTACTTTTCCATTTCAACGGGAGGGAAGCCGGATCTGGGAGCGGGGCAATCTCCTCCTTCGGGACTTGCCCAGCCCTCTCCCCACCAAGAGAACCAGAACATACTCTGCGTAAGTAGCTGCCTCATGTTACTGAGGGATGGGGGTTGCTGTGTGTTAGACTCAAGCATAAGCCCTGTGAACTGTTCTGTTGTGGTGGAAAATGGGAGAGAGATTTCATCTGCTGCTCTTCTGTGATCACAGCAAAGCATTGGTGCCATGGGCTCTCCACACGTGGAGTTTTGCATGTGCACTGTGGGCGTGGATGGAGAAACACCTTATGTGTAAACTGGCACTCAACCTCTCGCCTGTCAGGGCACATGTTGCGTTTGTACATGTTAATGGTCTCTGGTACAGGGGTAGCCTCTGTGTGACGTGTGGCAGACCAGGACAAGGACAGGCAGCACAGCAGCAGATCAGGCAGGAAGAAGAAAGCAGAGCAAGAGATTGGACAGAGAGAACAAAGTAGGGAGCAGAAAGAGCAGCAGATTGGGCAGTAGAGTGGCATCAGGGAGGGCGCAGGGCTAATTCAGGGCACACCTGCCAAAAAGGTTGAGTGTCTCGTCTCCCCTCCAGCCCCCCCACCGAGTTAAATGATTAGGAGACAGTTCATAGTTGACCCAAATGGACTTTACAGAGTTTATGAGCACAGCACCAGAAGTTCAGCATTTTAGGAAAAGGAAAGGAGTATAGGAATGGTATCTATTTCTTACCTAACTTTCTTTCCAAATACCTCTGCAGTTACAAAGCACTGTAGTGATACGTTAGAAAGCTGTTTTCCTTCATTGTTCAGTCTATGTCCGAGGGTCTACCTCTTGTAAAGGAGGTGTTTGCTAGGAAAAAAGCTAGACGTTTCAGGAAACTCCTTTGCTCCCTAGATCTCTGAGAACCAGTCCAATTTTATCCTTCGGTATCAGACAAGACTTAACTTTCTGAGAAAGCTTAGGTTCTTGGACAGGGCAGCTCCTTTATCTCCGCCATGTACCTGGCCCACCATTGCCTGGACATTCCTAACCAGGATGACACCTGTTGTCTCAGGGCACTTAACAGACATACATTAACACGGATCAGAAGTTCAGCCAGCCCTCCCGTTTCCTTGTTCCTACATTGCAAATAACAGTAGAGGCTTCTGGGAAAGTGAGGTCAGTGGGTCTTTGCATAAGTGTGCTCTTACAGTATAGCAATACATAAACGATTCCTGCTTACATCATTCATTATAGGTTATCCAAACACTTTAAATTGTGGCATGCAATTCATATATAGTTTGCACAGCCTATAATTTGTGTCATCTCTTCTCCTGCTACATCAGACCCGTCTGGCAGCCTGAGCTCCCCGTGTTGTGCCCGGGGGACATAACCATACACTCAGCTTCTTTGAGGCAGCTGCAACCCAGGTAGAAATCCCTAGAAGAAGCCCCACTGAAACAGCACCATAACTTCTGAGTACCCACTGATGGATCAATCTTAAGCAGCTCGCTAGTGGTAGAGCTTGGACCTCCCTGCTGTCCTGCTCACCAGTGGTCATGATTTTGTATTCACTGCTGAAAAGTCCATTTTTACCTTAGGATCACTGTGATGCATGAGCTATGCCAAGATAAATACATTGCAAAGAACAGGCACTTTAGTTTTATCACAAGAAGAGGTCAAGGTCAGGGCATAGGCCTGAATCCAGCTAGTTTACCTCATGGTAAAATTAAAGTGTCTGGTCTTCACCATGTTCTTACCAAAGGATAGTCCATGAATGTTAGTTAAAGTAAAAACACAGCTATTTTTTAGCAGAGGAGACAAGCCCTCAGGAGCAGCTCCCATTTCTGTTCAGTTGTGGGTGGGGGGAGCACTCCTATAGGTTTCAAATGCATCCCAGAGTCCTGCTTCTGTTACTTCACTATTTCCTTTGAAGCATAATTGTAGATTCGGGGGATAGCAATGAGATGTCTGGGAGTTAACGTACCTGCCATTCATTTTCAAATGGAAACAACTGCCTCTTTGAAAGAAATGGAAGGGACCAGGTAGGATGGTAGGAGGAAGGAAATACTTTGTGGAGCTAAGGAATTTTTGAACATGGATTTGAATCTGCCCATCATGAGTATTGCTGGTCTAACAGAGTGGGGCCAAGGTTTTTGGCAGTCATGCCGCAGGGTAATCCCCGCATCCTCTCCAAGTGCCACTCCGATCCCCTTCCCATGGCTGATTTGCTGCTCTTTTTTCTGCTCCTTGCTCTATCTACTGCTTTGCTCCCTGCTCCCTCTCTGATCTGCCATGTGTTGCAAACTAAGACTGCCTGTGCCACAAGTTGCCTACCCCTACCATGGAGGAGCCCTTAGCCCTTCTCCTGCCTGCTCCCTTGGTGGGGACAGAGCTTTTGTCTTTATCAGATGATCTGGTTTTGACTCAGCCTTTTCCTCTTCCTCCTCCTGTATTGCTACAAGTATATCCCTTAAGTGATACTGTCAAATGATGCCTCTTGTGGAGTCAAATATGAGAGTATTTAATCTCTTTCCTGCCTCCTCTTTCCTTCTGTAGGACGGCTCGTGCCTCAGCTGGTCCTGTCTTCAAGGGTGTCTGTAAGCAGTTCTCACGCTCCCAGGGCCATGGTTTCATCACCCCAGAGAATGGCACAGAGGACATATTCGTACATGTGTCTGAGTGAGTCTCATGGGAAATGGAATATGCAGACTTTCACGCACTGCTGGCTCAAGGATTTGGGAGATAAAATGGGATGGACCTTTAACTCAAATATGATAAGTGTCATTTAACCCCAGGATGGTAATGGCCAGAAATGGTTCTCATTTGATGGCTCTTTGGTGGCCCATAAGAGATGAGAATGGGTGTTTGGGGTGGTAAGGAAGGAGGGGCAGAGTCTCAGATCAGTTTCTTATCACCTTCTCTTGCCCTGATAACTGGCATAAACTGGGGTGAAAGGGTTTATCAGGTTTATTATGGAGGCAGAGGCCTGAATAAAATCCCTGGGGCAGGCTCCCTTCTTTTATGCCTTCCATTCCTTTTCTGGAGATGGTTTATCCAGGCTGGAGCTACAATATATGCACTTAGCCCACAGGTTTTCAGCCTGCTATCTGTGGACCTCATAGTCTGCAGACTGTCTGAGGGGTCCTCAAAAGATGACTGTGATGAAGCAAAAGTATGTGAATACCCACACTTACAATTCAAAAAAGTCTGCCCTCCATTTGAAATTTTTTAGGGGTCCACAAATGAAAAAAGGGTGAAAACTACTTAGCTTGCTGACCATACTGCGCCTCTGTGGATAAAGCCTCCTCTAGTGTGGCCAATGCAGTGTTCCACCATAGCAAACATATTCACTAACAGAAGTAGGGACCAAATCCCAGTGGATGTCCATGGACTCTGGGTGCTCTTTCCCTCAAGGCTCAGTGGTGAATATAAACAAATTAGCTCCAAATGGTACTAATCTGGCACTGGAAAGGCTGGGATGGGAAAATGCAACGAACAGTCAACTTTCTGATCAGGGCTCAGCAGACTGCCACACACTCCTCCCTCTGTGCCAGCTCTTTGTTTGGGAAGAAAAGCAAGTATAGTCTCAATAAAAGCCAACTCCATTGCATATAACAAGCCTTTTTGAAAGCTTTGTCTCACAGGCAGGAGTTTGGCTCCCTCCCCTTTCCCTTAAAGGACCCCAGATAGTGGGACTTGGGCTCTGGCAACAGCCCCTCATGCTGTCATCTTGTAGCTGGGTGGTGGGAGGAGAAGTCCTGCACAGTTCTACGGAAAGGACGGTGCCCACTATATGTTGCTGATAGCAGGGCTCGCACAGGGACCCCTTGAGAGCATCCTATGTTGTGGCTGGGGACCTCACTAGCACTTGATCATAGTTGTACCCCTAATGATCTGTCCTGTCTCTTTCTTTATCTCTTTCAGCATTGAGGGGGAGTACGTTCCAATGGAAGGAGATGAGGTCACATACAAAATCTGCCCCATTCCGCCCAAGAACCAGAAGTTTCAGGCTGTGGAAGTGGTGCTCACCAACCTGGCCCCCCACACAAAGCATGAGACATGGTCTGGCCAAATCATTGGCTCCTAGGTTCTTGTGGGGTTTATGGGCTGGCTCGGCCTGCAGGCAGGGTTGGAGGTGTGTGCCTGGGTGTGTGGGAGACAGTCTGGCACAGCTGGAGCAGAGGAGGATGGGCCGGGATCACGTTTCTTGTCTGCCAAGTGGCATGTAGATGTATACATTCTGTGTCTTTTATAAGATTACATTTTTGTTTGTAATTGTGTTGTTCGAGGGGGAGGGGAAGGCAGAGCTGCTGATAGGGTGGATTCCACTTTCTCTTATGTAGCGCGAGCTCTTACGGTCTCTGATCAGGGATGCACACAGAAGACTCCTTTTTTACTTTGGTGGCAGGGAGGAGAAGGTGCACACAGCAGGGGCTGGCAACAGTTCTTTCTTTATCGCACTGCCCACACTATCCAGACCCAGTGTGGACTCCCCACCCTGCCCAAAGCCTGATTTCCTCAGTTAGCTCCAAATTCTCCATCCCCTTCCTGATGTCAGGTGCCAGGAAAGCCCAAGGTCCAGCTCCCCACACCGACTCCCTTGTGAACTGAAGAAGGGGCTGAGGGGAGAAAAGGGATGGCATGACTATGTCTGGAGGCACTCTTCCTATGAGAGGCAGTTCCAGCCCCAAATGATCTTGAACAAGCACTTTGATTGACAGCTACATCTGTGAGGTCTGGGATTGCCCCTGAAGGTAGGCAACCATTGATCCTCTGGATCATGGTGTATGCATAAGAGGTCTAGTCAGGTGCCTGATGAATCAGCTTGTATGGAGTCCTGCAGTCATCACACCAAAACCTTTGACACAAACTGGTTTTATCCCCGTTCCTGAAGACAGGTGTGTGGGCAGGGAGGGTGCGGGGGGGAGTGGAAAAATGTGGGGCACCTCACTTCCTCCAAGTCATTTGACATGGCCTTCCCATGCACTCAGCACTGCTGCTGAGTGGACAGCCATGCCCCATGGGCTCTGGGCATGCCACCCCCCCCAGGTGGACCTCACCTCTGTCTGCAGAGCTAGGCAGAGTCAGGAGATACCATGTGGCTCTGTGTATATGTGTGTATGTGGGGGTAGGGGACAGTGGATTGTATCACTTTGCAGTTTACACCCCTGCCACCACCCTCTCTTCTACCGCATGTCACGGAGATAGGCTGTAGCTCATTAATAGGGAAGGAATCCCCAGTTTTCATGCTCATTTTTAAAGCAGTTTTATAGCCTCTCACTGCCAAGAGCAGGGGTCTGGGAGCCAGGAGACTTGGACTGTATCCTGCACAGACTCACAGAACAGTGTTGAGTAGGTCCCCTAGATAACAACTGAAGAGATCTCTGACTGTTCTTTGGTGCCTCAGGTTTTGGAGGTCACATTGGCCCCCCTGATTTACCTGGCAATTTGGGCGCTCAGATCCACTAAAAATCAGGTCCTAGGTATCTTGGTGTGTGCTCTTTTGAAAATGTTGGCCTGAATCTCTGTGCCTTCATTTCCTCAATGGGGTCATGAAATCTCTTTCCCTTAGCCTCTCCCTGCCCTTTGGTAAAACACTGTGCACAAACCCCTGGAAGTGCTGTTTGGTTTTAGTCTTACTCAGGCACCTTTCAAAGGATCACAGGTCAACAGCGCCGTGCAGGTTTCTGTGAGGTTTTGCTTGTTTTGAGGGGAGGGGGGAAGAGAACGAAAAAGAACCAACCCAGGCAGCATTGGGAGGAACGCTAGAACAGGCCTGTACATCAGCACTGGGGAGCACATCAGTATGATTCCTGCTCCAGTCCTGCAGATTCACCAAATACTAGCTCAAATGCCATCTTTTAATCTTCCACTGCCAGTGCTAATGAGCTACAAGCTCAGTATCTTTCCTGCTTTAGGATAAACATTAATTTTCTTAAAGCAGCTTTAATCT